TTGAAAGATATTCCTTAATAACACATCATTTGATTGAAAGTTTAATTTATTTAATAATACTTTGTTTAATAATAATATTTGATAAATATATTTACTAAAAGTGGGTTTTCTCAATTAAAATTGCGGAATATATTATATATGCAAATTTTCTTATAATTCAATATTTGTTCAAGTTTAATTCAAATTATAGACAATCACAAATATTTTTATTACTTTAATAATTTTGTTTGCTTTCATATTAAACATAACTTATTATTAAATAAATTAAATCTTTCTATTTAATAATTTGAAAAGTTATAATTATAATAATGAATATGAATAGTTTTCAATTTTCAATTCAATAATTTTCGTAAATTTCAATTATAATTCAAAATATTTATTGAAATATTGATTTTAGTAATTAATTTTGTTTATATAAATTCTACAAACCTAATAAAAACTTTTCAAAATAATTTTTATTATATACTAAAACAAAATTACAAAAAATAATTTCAAATAATCTAATATAATAACTAAATGTATTGATATATTTCAGGACAAAGTATTACGAGGACAGGGATGTGTTTCACTGTCTGGAGAACTCGGAGAGCGACGACTGCGTGGACCCGTCGGTGGCTGACCTGAAACTGGATGACTTGGATTCGGTGACCACTCTAGGGGTCGGGGGCTTCGGGAAAGTGGACTTAGTTCGGGTGAAACACAACAGGAGTCTAGTGTTTGCACTGAAGTCGTGCTCCAAAGCGTTTGTGCGGTCGACCCGTCAGGAACAGCACATCAACAACGAGCGCATCGTCCAGAGAGTCGCCTCTAAGCACCAGTTTGTCATCAAATTGTACCGCACTTTCAAAGACGACCACAACGTCTACTTCCTGTTGGAGGCCGCGCTGGGAGGCGAACTCTGGACGCTGTTGAGGCACCGGTAGGTTTCGCGAGACATACACGAGTGTTCACGTGAATATCATTCACTGATAGAGAATAACACTTTCATATATTTTATATCCATTATTCATTTGTAATGAAAAGGTCTTTGGAAAAATGTTATTTATTACTGAATAAAATACTCTATTATCATTTTTAAAACATATTGTTATTACATATTTATAAACAGCATTAGATGTTTGTTGTAATTTGTATTAAATTAGCTTTTTATTATAAATTGATAAATGATATAAAATATGCTGGGCTTATTACTGTATACAGTATGTTACAGTAATTTACATGGAAGTGTATGTTTTATTGTATTCAGTGATCATTTGTATTATTTGTGGTCTTTCTTAAGAAATATATAATTTATACGTTTTTCCCAACAAACTAGTGGTGCATTTGAAGAGCTATCGGCGCGATTCTACATCGGATGTGTGGTGGAAGCGCTCCGTTACCTCCATTGCCATCAAATCATTTATCGAGACTTAAAGCCAGAGAATTGTATTTTAGATAAAACCGGATATTTGAAAATCACGGACTTTGGTTTCAGTAAGGTATATCAAAATAAAAGCAATTCCTAACACGAATCACACAAAAACACACATAAATTCAATTTCACTGAAATATGTTGCAACAAAACCACAGATACTAACGGGTGGTGAGAAGACCTGGACATTCTGTGGTACTCCGGAATATGTGGCGCCGGAAATCATACTAAACAAGGGTCACGACCAGGCCGTAGACTTTTGGTCGATTGGCATTTTGCTGTACGAACTCCTCACCGGAATGTACGGCTCATCCATTTCATTGCTATTCAAACGCAAAATAAACTTCATGTTTGTCACCCAATTAGGCCTCCCTTCACATCCCCGGATCCGCTAAAGACATATAATATAATACTTCGCGGTTTCGACGCCATTGGCTTCGAAGAGGCGATATTCTCGAAGAATTGCGTGAATCTGATCCGTCGTCTCTGCAAAGAGAATCCCAGCGAACGGATTGGTGTCCAGAAGAATGGCTACTCAGACCTCAAGAGTCACAAGTGGTTCAGTGGTTTCGATTGGGATCAGTTGATCCGCAGACAGATTAAACCGCCGATTGTGCCCCGACTCAACTCAGCCACTGATACCCACTATTTCGATGTCACTCCCGATCAGACACTCAAAGAGGCCGAGTTTGACATCAAAGATGGTGCCATCGATTTGGACATCGATTGCGATAAGAGTTGGGATAAATATTTTTGAAATAGGTTTACGATAATTATATTAAATGTTTTTCAATAAATATATATTAGCTATGATAAATCGTTTTAATTTATGTTTAATTTAATGTTTAATTATTTGTACCATATGTCTATAAACATTGAAACATAAAATTATAGACATTTGTTATCTAATTATCATTTTTACTCATACTTGTAAGTTGAAGTAAATAAATATAAATATTTAACTTGTTTTGTCTTTTAACTTATTTAGTTTTTGTACATAACTTCAAACTTATTGTGAAACTAATGTCTTCATTAATACTTAAAACAAAGTTAAAAGTAATAATACAGTAATAAGCAACACTTTTACTATAGTCGTGAGTAATATATTATATTCAATAATATCTACTAACTTGTAAGTATAATAGATATGTCAATACTGTAAAAAAATATAATAAAAATTAAATACTTATATTAAAATGTCATGGTAGGAAGTTTGGGATTTCAGTTATGTCTTCAGAGTTTGATTTTTAACTTAAGATATTTATAAAAATCTTTATATTAGATGTTTAAAATAATTATTTGGGTTTTAATTAACTAATCTTTAAGTAAATTAAATTCTAATAAATGTGAATAAATAAATTGACTACAACGAATAGACAATTATAATTTTATTATATACAAAAATTAAAGGATATTTTTAAATAACTTATTTACATTTGATATGTTTGTGATATATCATAGAATTAAGCTTATTTATTATGTAATTATTAATTATATTTCAATAAACAAAACATTCACTAACAATATACGGTTATTGTATATGTATTTAGTGGCTTACAGTATTTGATAGATATACACTTGAAAATATTGTGTCCATAAAACAATTCTTATAGTGATATTATATACAAAGTGTATTTATAAATAGATATTTTAATTTGAGTAAAATTATTTTGTATGTGTAATACAATATACAGGTTTGAAAACTACTTTGTAAAACAATACCATAATAGATATATCTATACTTTAATTACCGGTAAATCTCTAATATTTCTATTCAAACAATTAGAATATTTATTAAAATGGTTAATAATTATATAATAATTTATATTATATAATGACTAAACTTATAACTTAAATCAATGGAAATGAAATCTGAGGACATAATAACTGATAAAACTACTAAACATTTGAGTTATCATTTGTCTTGCTTGAGACCGCCTCTTCATTGCTATCCTTATCCTTATTAACAGTATTTAACTCAATATTATTGGTCTTCGAGGTATCATTTGGTTTCTCATCGACTGGTTTGGACTCAGCGTTAGGTTTGGTTTGGCTTTCGTCGCCCTCGACAGACGAGGCCGAGGAGGGAGAGGGTGTCTCCGGCTGTAACTGAGTGTGTGCTTGACTTCTGGAGCGAAGGGATCCAAAGAGTTTGCCAAACCGTTTGCGGAAACCCTTTTGCTCCGATACGTAATAATGGCTTTCCTTGGCTTTGGGTGCTTTTGGGAGGTCGTGGTCGTCTTTAGAGCGTCGCCTAATATGCTGTCCGATGTTGTTATTGGCGGCGCCCGTATTGGGCGACAGTTTGGCCATCTTTTCCCTCTCGGCCTCAATGGACCGTTTGATTTGTGCCAACTCGACGTCATCGACACTCTTGGACTGCCGTCGTTGGGGTAGTCTTTGCTTTGTTTTGTCTCGTATTTTGCTCGGGTTTATGACGGGCCCGATGTCCGACGCCATCACTACACTGATCCCTATCTATGAAGTATATTCACAGCAATTATAATGGGTTTTGTTAAATAGAAATGTTTTTGTTTAAAACTAGACTTTTGTTTATGAAGTTCAGTGTATTTTGTACCGATTCTGGGGATATATTTCAGACATAACACAATTCGCGACTATTTGTTAGATAGAGTTTGATGTGTTTTTAATTAAAGTCTTTTTATAGAAACATTTGCTAAAACTGTATGACTTATAGCATTGAAAACATGGAATGTTGCATAAGATTTCACTCAATGGGTGTTCAACTTTTGGCATCAATTTGTTTTTCTACATCTATTTTTCTCATTTATCTCTTATATAATAGTAACCGATATTAATGTCAGATAAAACAAACTGTACTAACTTACGGTATACTCAAGTAGAGATCGATAAAAATCAGTGTTTGATATGTATTTATATCTCAATTAAGTTCTTTAACATTAATTAAAAGGGTTTATACACATCATAATATGTATATAAATTAGACAGTATCTTAAGGTATAGTTCCTTAGGTATGATAGTCACCTCATTGATAGCTACTAATTGTGCCAATTATTGACTATTTTATAAGAATTCAAGGGATTTAGATGATACTGTAGTAATGAGTACAGACTACAGGTATTTGTATTCATGTCTAAACATTTCTCAGTTAATCATTAATTTTTGAAACAATTAATCCAAATGATAAGATTTTTTAAGTTTATATAAATTGATATAAATTGATGGGAATAACCTTTTAAAAATAAAACTGATCGTGATATTGCTATGACAAACGTCAGTATTATTATATTTCTGTAATACAAATTGGAAAATGTATATATCCTCTTATTTATAGTATTAATATAATTATTTTTAAAATCATTTATTATAAAAAGAAACTCTGGAAACCCCCAGGGAACATACAGAATTATCATCATAATTAGAAGCATTTTATATAAAAAGAATCGTTAATTAGTTTAATAAAAATATATATTAAATATATTTAACAAATGTTATATTTTATTTTACAAAATAATTTTTAAAATTATTAGACTAACTGCACATCTAATTATATAAATATCTCTGTTCAAACTGTAAACTAATATTTTATTAAACAAAATCATATGTATGAAATAATAAAATTTACTGTATGAATCGGGAATACATTCATTTATAAAATTATTGTAAAATATTTTTTACAAACTATTAAACTTTTTTTAGTAAAACTCTAAATCAATTGAAAAATCTAATGTCAATCAAAAAGAGACAACAATTGTATACATCACTGATCTCGTCGTCGACGAAAGCATTGCCAACGGATTTACTCCGTCTCCTCATCTGTTCACTGTTGGCCTCATTTCGGAGTCGTTTCTGTTTGCGAAGTTTCCGGAGACGGAGGGACTCCCGGAGCGCACGGGTCAGCGTCTGCAGCGACCCGAACGTCGACGACCGCACTCGAGGCCTATCGGTGGTGCCCGACGAAGACATTGGTCCACCAAATCCACCGATCAATCAGTCATTCAATCGCAAAACTACTTCAAACTCTGCTTTCAAAAAGCACTTAAAGCACAGAATCAACAGTTAGATAATCAGTGCTGTCGTCGATACCACTCTCGCTATGCACTCACAGAATACTAAAGAATATTCTGTGCGATAGACAACAGGTTGTGCGGAATAACAGGCTTTCACTGCTATATTAGACACTATATTCTGTGCACTAATGATGAGACTGGAGGCGCACACAGTGTTTGAGTAGATATAGCATTGGATTGTGAGGATTGGGTGATTGGGTCAGTCGTGTTGTCGTAGTTTATTACACCGGCAGATGAGATGTGGAATGACAACCGCCGCGAGTCCTCTCAAACAGCACTGGTATTTGCAATGAGACTAAATATCTACACTCTATATATCTATATGTTATGCCATTTGTAGTGTTTGTGGATATGGGAGAGGGATATACAATTGATTTGAAGTGATGCTGCGTTCAAATTACATATAAACACACTACAGTACTTGCTAATTGATCTACGTCAATTTTGCCATTATTTTTCTTGTACTATAGTAGAGATTAATTTATATATTCGTAGAAATATTTAGCTATTGTAAATTTTGAGAAGCAATTAGATTATAATCTAAAGTTTAGAGAGTTTTAGGATATTTTTTAAAAAATAATTCTTTTTGATAATTGGTTTCTATTTTTAGAAATTGTTAGATATTTAGATTAATATATAAACTGATAAAAGGTTTATTTTATTTTTAATATCATAAAAATTTTTGTCACATTAGTATTGCTGTTAAATATCATAAATACATTGAAAACAGTTAAAAATAAATTATATGGTAATTGTTTTCAATTTGATTAAAACTTAAATTCACTTTAAGCATATTTTTCATGAATACTTTGTATAGATAAGAATCTATAGTTTAGATTTTGAGTATACGTGAGTGATTGAGAGAGAGAGAGAGAGAGAGAGAGAGAGAGA